AAGTAGGGGCAGACGCGGAAGCCGCCGTCGCGGGCCAGGCGGCTGCAAGGGACAAAACGGGAAAGGTGTCAGCACGGGCCTGCCCGCGCCCCCGACTCTCGGCTGGGCGCAGGCCCCGGCGGAGCAGGGCGGCCAGGCTGGGGGGTGGGGGGAGCGGCCTCGCCATTGGTAGGCTTCAGCTTGCACCCCTGGGGGCGCTCAGCTCGTATTCAGGGCTGGCACGGCCTACACACGTTACCCGATGGCCATAAGACCCCCTAGAACCAGACTGCCGGGAACTTGCTGCAGCTGGCTCAGCCCTCCTGCAGAGCTGCCAAGTGCACACGGAGGCCTTTAATTAGGAGCTGCACCCGAGCATGCAAGGCTCACACCTAGTGATAAGCCAATGCAAAAAGGGTAGGTCAGGTATGATGCTATGAAACCTGGCTGTGACATTCGAGGAAGGACTATCATCCTAGTTATCCCATTTGTGCTCACTCTAATATGCCCACGGCATCCAGTCACCATTGCATAGAATCTGCACAAAGAACCTGTCAGCATCTGATGAAGTGAGCTTGGGCTCAGAAAAGCTTATGCACCTTTGATTTACTTAGTCTGAGATGCATCTCTACCCTGCTTTCTGTCTGTACAAAAAAAGCCTTCCATAGCACCCCAAAGGTGGTAGGGGTTGAGGTGATCCTGATCTCTGGCACTATGGAGTTTGCTGAGAGCCCTTCCTCATCAGTGCACTGCCACAGAGCCCAGATTTTCACCCTCAGGCTACAGAATTTCCTCTGATCACAGCTGTTTGCACCAAGGTGCAAGTGGTGCTAGGCTTCAAGTTTTAAAGGGTTTTGAAGATTAGAAACAGAACTTCAAACACAGCCTTTGGGAATTGCAGCTGGAGATTAAATCACCACCCTAAATTATTAACAAGTCAAATTACTATATGTATGGACACTTAGTAGGTCTTCCTTTGAGATAGCAGATGATGGGAAGTGGGCACAATGTCTAAGAATAACAAAAACTAGGCTGAAGAAAAAAAGAGTTAGTTACACTTAACGATTTTACCTAAAAGAATGAGAAGTATCATTTGTTTTTCTTAAATTAATAGACCTCCCTATTTCTGCAGATATGAAAAGTAAACCACCCTGCCTGAAGCTTGTATATATTTATGCAGGGGTCCTTCTCAGGACTTGTGCAGATAGGGCCAATACAAACAAGTTAAGACACATCAACTAAAGCTGTGAACTCCATAGGCAGAAATTAAAGTAGGCTAAACCTCTATTTAGAGGCTCTAATTCAGGTACAAAGTGGTTTCAGATTGCTGTAATTTAAAACTGCTCTGAGGAGGATTGTGCCCATGTAGAGGAGCCCCTACAGAGCCTGGAGTGCTCACCCCAAGCACTTGTGCACCATAGTCCAAGAATTCACTGTCACCAATACAGTTCTGTAACACAAGTGGAATGGGGAGAAGCAGGTCAACCATTGTTAATAATACATTTGCAGAGCTGCCCAAAGTGGATGATGTAACAAGGTCTATATGTTAGATACTACCTGCCTGTCAAGCTAATAGATGTATTTAGATATTACTTCATTTGATTCTGGGCCAGAGCAGGAATCTAAATTTAAGATAAACCCACTTCTTTTAGGACTTTCTAATTGGCAGAGAAGGCTACTAATGGAAATAGATTGTACACTCCAGTTGGCTGGCATCTGTAGCTCGCACATCTGTACAATTTAAACGGAAAAATATCATGGAAGTTAGAGATAGAAAAGCCTCAGCAGCACATTAGATTCAGTAGCACATAGTCAAGGCAGAGCATAATTCAGTAATAAAAGGACTTGGAATATTGGGAGGCCGAACAGGAAGCAGTGGGAATGGAGAGGAATTAGAAAGTTCTTTGCTCACTAACAAGCATAAAGAAAATGTGAGAGCCCTAGCTAGGAAACTAGAACTGCAATGCAAGCTGTATTTCATGTCACACTGACACGATGAAACAAGTTCTGCAAGAGGAAAACATGCACACTACAAACTTTTGTGCCAGCACAGTTTTGCCTGTACTCTTTGTGTGGTATCCTAGGTCACTGGCAGAACCCAACCTAATTTTTTTCAGGCCTGTATCTTTGCTGCAGGATTGCCTTTCAAAACTCTTCTATTGTGAGCTCTTCTATGAAGTGGGCTTCTACAAAGCAACTAGTTTTGAGCATCAAGATTAAGTGCATGCTTTGTCTTGGCATGGAAAAGCTCTAGTGTTTTCAGTGACTAGTTGAGTGGCGAGCAATGCCAAACACCAGAAATATGGAAGCAGCAGTTGCTTTCGGGCACAAGAGTAAGAGTGTCATGACCATCATCATGTGAAGACAATGTTGAGATGTTTTTTTTCCTCCTTGTACAATGATAGTAGTAACTTCTTGAGTACTCCATTGATGGAATCTGTCTCTCCCTTGTAGAACAGTTGGAAACAACGCTGTTAGCATTAGTATTTATGTTGTTACAGTCTGAGAGGAAAACAGAGGACCTTTGTGCTCATACATAGTTGACACACTGTGATGTATTCTACTGTCTTCTCCCTCTTCCTCTTCATTAAATAGTGCCTGTTTATAGGGTTTGAAATGTTCTTTACATAAAATACCGTGCAGGCCATGAATCTTCATGAAGAAAAAAATTGTAGGTGTAGAGCACAGTTCTTACTAATATTTGCACCTACAGCTGGTAGTACCTTAAACAGAACATCACAGCACTCTACAAAGAGTAATTTTGTCTTGCTGGGCTGTGAGGTGAGACCTACACAGCTCATGCATGCCAGAGTTCCACATTCATGGAATTAGCTGTTTGCAGCACAAGTGTGCTCTCCAATCCGAGTTTTCATGTTAAAAAAAAGATGGCTGTCCGTTACTCACTGGCTCTAGAAATAACACTGTAAATGTGATGCAACCGAGGGAGTAACATCTGCCTGGGTCAGCAGTTAACCTGAAAAAAAAATGCTCTGAGAACAGTTAACACCCCTTTTCATCTCAGTTAGGATCCTCCAGCTTCCATGTTTGCTGGGACTGTAGTATTGGGGGGGGGGTTGTCAAGATGCCATGGAAGATAGCATTTTTTGGTATGAAATCTGCCATTTTTTGCAGGCAAACTCTGCACTGTTTTCTGTCTCTCTGCCCTGCTTGGGCCTGCTGGCAATGGCCTCTTTCTCTGTCCAGCTTTCCTCAGAGGGTGACATGAATACAGTTAACAGTACATGCTCCCTAAAGCCTGGAACCAAGCAACAACAGATCAGGGAGCAAGCAATGGTGTTCAGTTTGCAGGCATAAAATGAGGATAGCCAGGAGCATAAACTGGTGAACAGGGTCACCTTGAGTACATGGAGAGAGCTGAAGTCCATGGATAGCAAGGAGACGTATGTAACTAACTACAAGTTCTCCCCTTGCTTGGAGCACACAAGAGGGAAAAGATCCCAAGTCTGGGCCATAGGGTATTCGGGTGGGGGTTGAGGCTGTGGGTATCAGAGAGAGAGAGAGAGAAAAAAAAACCCTATTCTTCCAAATAATAATCACAGCTGGAAATAACCATTGACAAATTTTACATCAACGAGTATTTTCAACTCTGAGCCATAGCTGTGTGCTTAGAAGGGGGGTAGGAGGGGTGGAAACAACAGCAGCATAATTCAGTGTTGCAGTAGAGCTTATGGGTTGTTGCCATGGAATTTGATCTCTGTGGGCTGCAGAGTTCACCGGCTTTGCGTATTATACCTGTTTTACAGATGGCAAAGAGAGGTTAAATGTCTAGAGCAGGCGCACACAGCCAGCCAGTGGCAGAACTGCTGGGGAGTCTTTACTATGGGCCAGATCAATCCTCCAGGATTCACATGCAGAAGGACCTGGACTCAGATATCATGCTTCCTGTGGGAGGTCAGGAGTTGGGAGTGGGATGTCAGCTACATTCTTAGCACCATTTTCCCACAGTTGCCAAACCCACATGTTGCCTTCCATGACTGGAGGAAGCTATAGAGACAAGGAGGAGATAGTAAGTAGCTGCACATTACCCCCTAAACATACAGGAAAGCTGCAGAAAAGTGAATATGGGAAGTAGGCTTGATTTTCTGCAGCATTTCCCCTTGATGCTGTAGAACTGTCCTTGGAAAGGGATTGGAAATGAGCAGAGGACAGGGAAGTGAGGAGAAAAGTAATTACTAGAGCCCCAGCCCAGTTGCCAGGAAGCTGAAGAGCAAGCTCAGTGGTTCCAGTGCCCATGTGCCAATGCAGTGGCACAGATCCCTTATAGAGCTGGCTGGCCCTGTGCTTCTAACAGATCCCTTAATGTCCTGGGGGATCATGATGGATCTGTGAGTTCCAGAGGAAAAGGCTTCTGGCACAGTCTAAAGGATGATGGTAAATCTTAGTCCTTGACAAGACAGTTTGGGAAAACTCTGCAAGAACTGTGCAATTCTTTTCACCTGTTCCTGCTGGTTTTTCCACAGGAGGGCAGGTCTGGCCCAATGTTCTAAGCAATCTCCAAGGTCTCACAAGTGAAACAAATTTAATTTTAAATGTTTATAGTGATCCACTCCAAGGTCTGGTCAAATAAAGCAGCAGTTAATTGGCCAGACTACTTCACAGAAACTTGGTAAATTTGACCTCATCTGTAAATTATTTCTTCATTCTAGTTTCCTTCCATATAAAATAAAACATCACTGAAAATGGTCTTCTGGTGTAGTAAGAAAAAAAAAAAGAAAATCTGACCCTCCGTATAAGGCATATAACTTGCTTAGCAAATAGGGACAGGAATATCAAATTCAGGACAATAATTCTAGTTTAGAGATTAGTATGAATGGATAAGTGCATTTTTAATTAAAAATAATGTGCTTTTCTTTACAAAAAATGGTCAGTGGATGACACACTAGTTTTTTGTTAAACTCTTGAAGACATCATCAGCCTAAACCCATTTGCTCATTAAAAAAATATTTATTTTGAACAGTACCATATTACCTCATTTGGTAAATTACAAAATTCCATTGGGAGCTTTTAAAGTATTTTCACTTAAGTAGTAATCTTAGACTGAGGGAATGCACAAGTTCAGGGATTCCCTATGATGACAATAAATGTTGAAGTATAATTAGTAATATTTTTGAAAGCCAACAATTGTTTTTTGAAAGAAAGGTACATTTTAGTTTCAAACTGGAACACAAATTACTGTATTTTTCTTACAATGGTACTGAACTTTTATTTGAGGTTCTCTGTGTCTGAAAAGCAGACATGATGGATTGAAATAAAAGATAATTTATTGCAGTGCTTACTTTTCAAGTGCAGAGAGAAGCAGTGTAATTGTAATTTACAGTAGCTGTCAAGGAAAATCTATCACAGATGACATTAAAATGACTTATTTTGCCTGAGCCACTTATTGTTTAAATGTGCATAATCCGATAGAAACAGATTTTTTTTTTTAAATCTGCTTTATATTGTTCTAAATTAATATCAAAACATATACTTATGAGTTAAACATTTTAAAACCATTTATTAATACTTTCATCACTGCAATTTTTCCTGTTTGAAACTGATTTATTTAACTATACTACATCTCCATTGTTTGAATCTATATATTGAGAACACTCATAAATCAGAGCTTGTTGTCTAAAAACTAGAATTCAAACTAGATTTAGTCATACTTTAAAGAAAAGCATCACAGAGGATACAAGAATATAGAGCACAAGGGCCCGATCCCATTCCCATTGAAATTGATGAGAATTTTAACATCAATTTCAGTGAGAGCAGGCTCTGAAGGATTACAACTTTTCTAGAAAATAGGAATTAATCCTTTAACATAATATTTTTATTTTTAAGTTTTAGCTGATGATGCTCTGGAGTAACTATACTAAAGACTCCCATCTAAGCACAGAACTTCTTAGCCACTATAACAAAGAATATGATAAACAATAGTATGCAAATTCATTCTGCTGATGTAATTACGCCCACATCCTTCCAAAATTATCCATTATTATGGTTATTTCTGATATTTAGAATATGGTGTACAAATAATTGAAGTACCTTTCAAGTAAACCTTGGGATGAAGAGCATCTAGACACTTTTTCAGTTTGATAAGTCCAAACATCTCTATCTTACAGGTGTTTGCTTACAGGTATTTATGCTACATATCTTTCCATACAACTAAGATTTTGACTGCATATGCAAACATAAAATGACAGATAACCAGAAAAATGTGACTTCAACGAATCAGAACAATCCTTTATCAGAGTTAGTGTGACATTAGTTAGAACAGCACATTTAAGTAGTCAACAGAATAAAACCCTGGGAAAAAAAGTTTACAATCTGTTATTTTGCATATAATTTTGAACATGCACTAGTTTTGATTAATTTGTTTTTCAGCAGGGCCTTTGCATACATATTTACACTTTGTAAGAAACTGACCTCTGCATCAACATAGCAAAAAATCCAATGTCACTTTCAATTCTGCTCCTCTTTTTTTTAATATAGCTAGAATTAATGTAGTGAATCTGTAATGAAATGCATTATCCTGCACAGAGATTTATCAGATTTTCCAATTGAATGCCATGCTTTGCTAGCACTAGCTGGAGTTCACCTGCATGTTGGTGTGGCGTGTGGCTCTTTTTTGTAAAGAGTTAAGTTGAACACAAAAAAAGGGAACAAAGGTCAGCACCCAGCCGCCACTTGAATGTGAGATTTTTCTTTTTATTCCCCTTGATGTATACTAGGCTCTGTGTTATTAGTCTTAATGATGGAAAATTGTAGTGTTGATACAAATCTTTTTTTCAAAGTAGTAGGCGGGAGCTCCATTTGTTAGTAAGTTTTTTTGTGACTAAAAGCCACGGACAGTACATTTATGTAGCAGTAAAAGGCCTAGATGCTCTTTCCATAGCAGAGCTAATTATTCCTACTGTGACCTTACTGATCTACCCTGTTCCTAGTACATCTCATCTGCACGCCTGTTCCTCTGTGTAGATGGTGTCAGAGAATATGAAAAACCCTATAATGAAACCATTTTCATGATGGAGAAAGGCTACTGGAGTTGCACTTGCTACAAAGAGGCTCAATTATATGAGTAATTGTGATAATTTTCTACATTCATAGCCTTCAATGGGGAAAAAAGAATGAGAGCCACAAAGGAAAATTACTTTAACAAGAAAGTACAGAGAGTAAAAATGGAAGAAGAGACAAAAAAAAGGGAAAAAAAATAACCAGAAAAAAAGTTTAAAAAATAGATCTGGAGGGAGGAATAGCAAGACAGGGAGAACAACAGAAATGCTCAAAAAGCCTATGTGCAGCTGTGTTGCACAATTAAATTGAATTTTTTTTCTGCAGTTGATGAATGTGACTACTGCAAATGTGCCTCTGTAGTTAGCTATCATTTGTTGTTCCGTGACAGGAAAAGGATAATTACCTCTCAGAGAGAATCAAAGGCTGACATGCCCTTTAGACACAGCCATGAATGCAGAGCTCGATAGAATGCTTGAATAAGAATCTAGTGTTCTGTGCCCCCTTCTACTCAAGAATAAATTTTGTTAAAATGCAAGAGCACCACCAGTAAATTTGTTGAACCCTAGGTGTTCAAAAATATGAGGTGCATCTATCGACTCATCCCATTTGCAAAAATAAAACTACATTTTGAATTCACTTCTATTATATTCATGGACAGTAAGATAGTGAGATATGCATTAAATTTCTTTTCCCAGTAGGGGTCTGATTCAACATTTCCTATGAAAGAACAGAAAGACACTATCCTTTTTCCCCAGGCTAGTTAGCCTATAATTTAAAACTGTCAAAAACACAATTTTATACAAAGTCTTCAATAAAAGCTTCTCAGATATAACCCAAAGAGGCTTTACTAAAGTTTGATTCAGACTCTGTTACAATATTTTTAAAGCTATAAATACATCTAACTGATATTTTGCCGCTTTCTTTTTTTCTTTAAAGTATTTGAAGATTTACAAAGAAAAAAAAGGCAGCATCTTTTCAAGGTGTCTAAGCCTTGAAGCTTTTAAGCAATCAGAATGCATTCAATAGTTTGTCATGTCCATTAATATTCACAAAAGTACCAGTGAGGTAGTGCTTAATGAAATGTATATGATAGGAGTATCTTTTTAAAAAACACTTATTAAAAAATAAATAGATCAATATAAAAAGATACCTTGAAAAATAAAGGCACACTTTAATTCAGTCACAAGAACAAGAGAAATAATTACCTTTATATAAAAGCAAGAACAAATGCAAAAATCTTTTCAAGTTAACTTTTTTTCCTTGATGAGGTTTGTATGCACTCTGCTCCCAAAGGTAAGAACTATATATGTTTGTACTTTTTAAATTTTTTTAACAATGTGACCTATTTATCTTGACTAATTCCTTTGTCACTGTTTCTCTACAACAAAAAGAATTTTGATTTCTAATTTTAATATACTGATTGTATTAAAGATATGGTATAGGTTTAAGTAAAAGTGAGGGAGAGAAAAAATGCTGTGAATCAAATCTGTTAATTTAAAACCACAACTGACATAAACATCTTTTGACTCATTCGACAGTTATCTTTGCTGACCCTAGTGTAATTCACTTTTAAAAAAATCTTTCTTACCCAGGGAACAACATTATAGCCTGGCAGTTCACATACTGATATCAGACTGAAATGATGGTTCTGAATCATAAAACATGTCATCAGCTTTATACCAAACCACCAATAACCTTTGTCCCACTTGCCAGCCCTCCCTTTACTTGTCAGTATAAGGCTTACCTGATTGTGTTTCCAATTACAGAGAAGGGAGCCCCTGGTCTGCAAGCTGCAATTGCTTCATCTCTACATTTCCTGGCAACCTCCACTAACTTTTGACCAGATTTATCCACATTGCCCACCAAAAATGTTTCAGAAGTGTCACCATGGTAGCCATTGTAATACACCTAAACACATGCAGAAACATAAAGACATCTTCTTGTTTTGCATTCATAAACAGAGCTTCTCCTTAATTAAAGACATTCTTTCTAGGAATCAGCTATGCATTTTAACAGATAGGCTTATTTTAGGTTGCCTATAAGATTCATTTGCAAAGGGAAAGAAAAGGATTAGAAATAAAGCCAAAGGACACATCTGTACAATTGCAATTAACTGTAAAAGCCTGCAGTTTTAAGGTTAGGACTGAAAATGTAAAGTTTGCAAATTAAACATTCAGGAAATGCAGAAGTTCTGCCTTACAGGCTTTGAGACCATCAAAAGGTGAAATTCATTCATCTACAGGAAGCTGGAATAATTGCCCTTCACATGAATGAAGTGCAAAGGGTTGGTGTGGGTCTTAGGAGAGTGAAATCCACTTCCCAAACCAGAGCCTGGGTACAGCGCCAAAGGACAGTCTTTGCAAGGATATTACTCCATCCTATGGGCTGAAATAATAGCTCCTGCTGCTCCTCTACTCCACATGCCCATATGGTATTTGTTGGTGCCACTGTACTGGCCCATATCTCCCCTGTCCTAGGCTGGCTTTATTGCCTTCCTAGGCAATGAAGGCAACTTGCTTTGGCAAGTTAAGTGCAGAAACTCTACATAGGACACGAAGGCTCTTTTCAGGGCATCCAAGATGTATTGTCTTACTAAAGAGCATAAGTAGCTTGGAAGAACCTGCATTAGTCCTCCACAGTGAATATCAGCCAAACTGGATTTTAAAGTACACCTGATTAGCAATGCAAACTACTACAAGCATACAATGTGTGTGATATAAAAATATAAGCCAAATTCTTTGTTAGTAGGTACAGTTCTACTAGTCTCATGCACTTTTCATTTTAGGACAATTTTAATTCTCATTTTAAACTGCAGCATTGTATTAACCTAGGTTTTTTGCTTTTCATTCCCATGATTGAATTTAGAGAAGAAAAATGTAACTTTGGCACTATAAAGTTGCACATAATATAAATGCAGCACTGTCGGATACACAAAAATCCAACCTTTGTGATTATGCAATTATGCAACTCTGTGTTTTAACAACTACATAGCACTCAACAGATTTCTCTAAAAACACAAAAAAACCCAAGTCTAGCACCCTCAAGGTTTCCAATATGGCATTAATAAGAGTTTTGCAGCTCCACAATACTGCAGACAATACTTTAACTACAAGATGTTTCAAACATTTCAGTGTGTGGGCAACGCACAATTTCAACTGTTTGCAACTTAGATGTTCTAAAATATATTTTGCAAACTTAGTAGAAAACTGTCTTCCATAACTAACTAGATGTAAAGTCTAAAGGATTGAAGTTGTGCCACTTGTGAGTTATTTGTGGGAAAAAAAATACTTTTTTCATGTCAAAGTATTTTTTGCTCACACCTGAACCCCAAACAGCTAAAGAGATTTTTGTCCACATTCTTTGGGGGAAAAAAGTCTTGTGCAAGCTGAGTTTTTTAAAGAAAATGTAGAGACAATTATGAGCAAATGATAACAGGGTTACAACGAAAGCTGAATTCAACAAAATGGCTCGATCCTGCTGTCACTGCTACCAACGAGAGCAGAATCAAACCCTTAATTACATGCTTTCTCTGACTGTTAAGAATATCAGCTCAGCTTTTCATAATTTAATTCATGTAAGATAGTTTTTGCTCCACTAGGTTCACTTCTAAATTGGACTACATCATTTTTAAGGCAGCACTCAGTCTAACAAACATCAACCTGTAACAGAAAATGACCACTACCATGTTGGAAAAATGAACACAGTGGGAGGTTTGATTTTGCAAGCTCTTCAGGGCTTTAGCAAGAACACCAGTAACAGGGGGCTCAGGCAACTGGTATCTAAATTAACAAGGGAGGGCTCATCTAATACTATTAAAACTATTTCTTAATTCAGTTAATATTTGCTACAGCCCACATATCACCACTCCATATTTTACATTAATAAATCACAATTACAGTAAGTAGGATATGCCAGTTCCACAACACTGAGATCTGGAACCAAGATGTAGGGACGAACACTTGATAATGGAAGGCTGAAAGCTGTGGCATGTTGATGATCCAGTGAAACACAATGCTTTTGTTTCTATTATTCTTTAAAAAATATAAAGGTTACATGATTTAAGTCAATAACAGGTCTTTAAATTTCATCTATGAAATTTTACAAACCTACTTGTGCAAAACAGATTTAATTTTTATCTCCAAACCATTTGCACTCACCATGAACTATTTATGTTTGATAGCTACAAGATTATTATTTAATCATTTTATAGATCCAATACATGTCTGTAAACAAAGTATTGTAGAATGTTTACTGTAATTGTACTGTTATGTCTATAATCATTGTTTCCACCTGTGAAATGTCCCAGTTTTCCTCATTAAAAATAAACTGAAAGGTCAATTATAAACACTACAAAGCAATATTTTTTCCTTGGGGATATTAGAAATGAACAATTAGCAAAACAAAAAGGTTATTTATTTTTAGTGATTAAAAAATATACAAAGTGAAGATAATCAAAGAATCATGACAGAACCAACCAGGAATCTTCATATTCCTGGATTCTTGCAAAAATTATTTTATTTAGGAGCTGAGCAGAAGATAAACATGTTAAAAATATCCCTATTATTTATTCAAATATTATTTGTGAAATACACTGGAGAAAATAGAGACAACCATATTAGTATAAAATGTTAGTTAAGTTTATTGTGGAAAAGACCTGCAAGTATGAACAAGAACTCTGATTTTCATCTAAGGACTCATCATTATCTTTGAGGTACAATAAAAACAGTAACATTAACTTTAAATCAGGTAACACTTAAAGAAACCAGGGGCCAGAACCATAGTTGCTGCAAACTGGCATAGTTCTGCTGAAGTCAGGGAAACTAAGTCAGTTTATACCAGTCAGAGATTAGACCCCAAAAAGTATTTGGAAGACAACAGACCTCTTTGCATAAACCTGATGGAGTGAATACCTACAGTTAGCTTGTATAGAATTGGGTGGAATGCAGCCAGAAAGTAAAATGAAGAAACCAACCAACCCAGAACAGGATCATAAGTGAATGGGTTTCACGAGGCAAAAAGTGAGTGCATAAAGAAGTATGTAAAAAGCCTGAATTCTGAGGTTAGTTCTGTGGCACACTGGACTTGAATTTACTTTTGCCAGTGGTTAATTTAGCCCATGGAAAGCAGTACCAAATTGTCAACATAGATATTTGTATCAATTTCTCTAATGGTTGAAAAAGCTTAATCTGATGACTGGCAGTATTATTAGGTATCATATATTATTGCAGTTCTAATACTTAGAATTCAATAAGATATTTTTGTATATACTAAAAAGAAATTGCCAAAGGTTTGAAAAATAAAAATATTTACTGTAAAGAGGAAAAAACAGAACCAAAAAATATGACTGATTGTTTTAATAATAAAATACCAAAAGGCAACACACAATTAGCTTTTCAGTTTCTATAGTCTCTTGTGCTAATGAAAATCCAGTCAGTCTTTATTTAAATAGTATAATTGACCACTCTGTGGCAATACTGTGTCAACAGTTATACCACACTATCTGTTTGTGAGTAAAGGGTTCAAGGCTCTTACACCAGAAATGGAACACAACACTACCTTCAGGGATTTTAATAAATGTAGGGAACACTGCTAGCAAAAGAGTTGCTGTCCAAATAGACTGACATACACAGGCCAATGTAGCCTCTAATGACAGAGTAAGATAATGACAGGCCCCACTCAAAATCAGCAGGAAGAGGAAGATCAATCTTGGCAGAGTGAAGGAAAAATGCTGGCTTTCTTCATGTTAGCTCATCTCATACATATCTATCTTCAGCTGCTGCCCAGTACTGTGGTGCTCTGCATTAACTACACAGTGGATCAATAACAATTACACCTTCTCAAAAACATGACACATAGCAGGATTGGGTTGACATTTCACTTAGGCCAACATTGATCTTAGTGCATCTGATTCCAGCCCTAAATTCAAGTCAGGCCTGGGTCTAGTTGGAATAAACACAGAGTTAAAAACAAAAAAGGAAACCAGCTGCTTGTGCCTTGGCTTAGAAGTAAACAGCACATCCATCTGTGCATTCCACATTTTCAATCTACAATTCTTCCTGTTGCTACTAGCAATTCTGAAGTTGATCAAAGACTATTTTTTATATGAATTACTCACCGTGACATCGATGTTGATAATATCTCCATCCTGAAGAGGTCGACTGAAACATAAACAGAAAAAAAAATAATGGTGACAGACAGTCCTCAACAAAGGGGATATAAGAATAAACACCTAATGACACACACACAAAAATCAGGAATAGATAATTTGTGCTGGAGGAAGATGGAGGCAAATGGAATAACCATTTCTAATCTTCAGCTCTCACTATTTAAAGAACAAGTGTAGTTGAATGTAATGTAATAAGAAGCAGCTAGTAGAAAAAGATTTCAGGATCCAAAACAGTACTGCTGTACTTAGTCTGATCATTTAACTGGTTTATAGTGAGTTGATATTTTACTTTCTGAACAGACACGTGTGTTACTGATGATCAATATTTACATTCATTACAGTATCTTCATTCCATAAACTATATATATTTTGCTGAGAAAGGTTAAAAGCATTATTAATTGCACTGTATTTTTCAGTCTCTATTCCTTAAAGACATTTACACTTTCATTTATTAAGCATTGTCACAAACAGTAGATTATTATTGTTTTTATTTATAAAAATTCCTGAGCTGCCCATCACCATAGCTTTATAGCATGACATGCAGCTGTAATAGATTTTTAGGTAACATTCAGATATATAGAAGTATGTTTAATACTAAGCTGTAAGTTATGAATCTTGACTTAACATTTACATTCCAATAGTAAAATATATGTTATTAAAGGAATACCTGTCAGGAATACCATGACATAGGACATTGTTTACAGAAGTACAAACAGATTTTGGAAAACCTCCATAGCCCAGAGGTGAAGGATAGGCTTGTTGTCTGATTATTTCATGATGAACAATGAAATCTATTTCTTCAGTTGTCATGCCAACCTAAAATATTAAATAAAAAAATTGTGTTAGAAAACTAAAGACATTTTCTTATATTTACTGAATGTGATTGCAGCCACATGCTTCAATGAAATCTAGAATGATACAAATCTACTGTTTTGATACAAAACATTTAAATGTAATATGGTAGGCTTTATTTAGAGAGAAAGGTTTGAAATCAAGCATTTGGTAACAGGGAGCACTTAGAGGCTCCCAGGAAACCTAAAATGCCATCTACTTTTTTTCTTTGTTTCTTTATCCACATCTGCTTCTCAAAACCACCATTTTCTAATGGCCTTGTTTTTCAATAGCTGCTACAGAAGTGCCTGATTTTCTAAACTTCCCCTCTCAGTGCTTCCATCTTCCTTACATAATTAAAAATGGCTTCTGTCTGTGCTTTCAAATATTCTATTTGATGCTCTCAGTCTTTTAAAAGAAAATGTCACTTTCTTTATAACTGACAAATAAGAGCCTGCTTATGTATTTGCAAATAAAATTTCCCTTCAATTATTTTTAAAAGAGTATAAATTATGTAAAACATTTAAATATCCCAGTTTATAACTGGAAGTTTTTTGTATCATAGTAGACAAGACAGTTTTAATTTTAGTTTAATTTTAATTAGACTTTCTACTTTAATCCTATAATCTCTAGAAAGATTCATTCTTGGGATGAATTCTTTTGGACACTAAATATAACATTTTAAAAAATTAACAGAAATAGTTCTGTTATTTTTTAGCATCAAGAGAGAAAAACCCACCCATATTTAAAATACTGTTACTCCAGTTTTTCATTTGGACCAGCCCTAGTTCAGGAATAGAGAAAAAAACCCTGAAATTTGGTAGGGAAACCTCTCTCATTGAGAAGAAGTACCTTTGAGCATTCCTATGAAAATTGATTTTGATTTGAATGAGTTTTAAGCCTTTGAAAATCACACTTCATATACATACACTACAGTGGCTATGATTTTTGAGTACTTTTAGTAATGTCTGAAATAAAGGGAGGTTGCATCACATATCTATATTGGTTACTCTCTGGGGTAGTGAAAGATTCAGTGATCATATGCAGTGTAATGATGTAGTATGTAAGGAATTAAACCGAGGTGTTGTAGAGCCATTACCTTGGTCAAGGTGTCATTGGCCAGGTGAAGATTACTGCTCCACCCAAACCATAGTATGTTGCTATGTGGATACTCTCCTCTTAAGTAGCTATTCCAACCTATGTGCTAAAACAGTAGCTGCAGTCCCTGTCCATTAATTGCATAGTTTACTATGGCCCCTGGATCTGCTTTGCTCCAGCTGCTGACCAGGCTTTCTGCCATGGCTGCAACCCTGGGAAGCCCCCAGGACAGGCTGCTAGGGCCAGCACAGTTGCTGGCCCCAGCCTCCTCTACCCCACCTGGGATAAACTGCTGCACTCCAGAGCACACATGGCACAGGTGTTCCCCAGGGACAAGTAGCAGTGGCACTCCTTGTGTCCACGCTTGTGTAGATGTGGCCTCAGAGGGCAGATCTTTTGTGTAGCCTCTACAGGGGGCTGACATGTTCTGAAGAGTCCTTTGCTGTTACTCCATACTGAGATCAATTTTGTTTAATTGAAAATGATGTGGGGGACAGTGAAGGCTTCTTCTTGAGGACTTCTTCTAGTATATGCGATAGGGTACTCTGGTAGTATCTAGCCAAAATTTTCCACATTATGGAATTTGTATTTTCCTTCAAAAAACCCTATGAAATTGCATCAAACAATTTTTAACATTGCATTGTTAAGCACAAAAAAAATCAGAACATTATAATGTTAAGACTATATACATTAACCTTAATTACCCGGTTGCATATTATTTCTGAAATAACATGTTACTCATTTATTACTCTGTAGTGTTAGATGCACATATGTGACACTTCTAATACTTTGTACCACTTTACACATACTAAAAAAGAGAACAATCTCTTTGAAGGCTAAACCATGTTAAAAGTGAGTGTAAGTATAGTTTAGGGAAAACAACGACAAAGGGCAATAGTAAGAAGGTGTTGTCATGTATAATCCACATAATTTTTGAGTTAAGTCCCTGATCCTGAAAAAAACTTATAAATGTGCTCATCTTATATGTGTAGTTGTACTGAAGTCAGTGGGACAATTCTAAGTAGGAAGTTAAATGTACACAAGCATTTGCCAGATCAAGGTCTAAATCACGTTTGTCATTTATTGCGTCATTCCCTGAATTGCACCTATGGGAAGCCGTATTGATGGTTGAAAAGAAAATGGGCAGTATGTGGACATTGATAAAATGTATAAGGTGTCTTAGTACAAACCTCAGAGCAGTGATTATCTAAATATATTATGATAAAATCAACATTGCAATAAGAAAATTAGTATGAGTAAAAGTAATGAAAGAATAAAGTGCTGTGTGTATGTAACACTGTAAAATAAAGTGATATAACACCATAATATATTTAAGGAATCATATAATCTTGTATTTAAAGACTTTATAGTAATGTTCATGCAAAAGAGGCAGAGCTAAGGATATACAATTGTGTCACTTTCTGATTGTTTAATACTATTCTTGCAATTTTAATCTTTTAAATTTATTTGATATCTATACATGCTCTACATTCCTTTTCCCACACCTATGATAGATTCACTTACTACTGAATGTATTTCATCATATTCTGTGTAAAGCAAGATGTATTATGTACTTCTCTGTCCCCAAAGACTTTGAGGAAGTTCCCCTAACTATATTTTTATGTGGGAGGTACACCACAAAGCATTCTGTAGAAACATTATTGAAAACCAAGAAATTTAATTATCGTTGCACTTTGGCAAGGTGCCTGGAATTTGGCAGCTGCACTTTTAAACAGCGGTTCTGGAGCTCATGATCTGTCTGATCACATGGCAAGAAAAGAAGGAGCAGTTGAACCGCTGGCAAGGGAAGGAACAGTCCAGTCCCTGAGGCTCACAGAAATGTAGAGCAGGAAAGCAGTAAGTGTGAAGAACAGGATTTACTGTGTAACAAAATAACAGAGTCCCATGGATCTTATGACAAATTCATGCAATTTAGGAGGTCAGAATCGAGACCTAAATTTTGGATTACACTGCAAATACCTAGTAACTGTTAACATGTTACACAGATCCAAGTGATGGAAATGATAAACAGAATTGTTTTGTATTAAAAAATAAGGTTATGAAGTTAATATTCAAGCATTCCACAGTTAATAAAATGCTCTTTATTTAGAATTCTTAAAGTCAGATGAGCATTAAAAGTAAAAAGTAACCAACACAAAAATCTAAGTGTAGAAGCACTGCTTTGTGATAGGTCTTCATGAGATTGTTACCTTTAAACTTTTTCCAGCTAGAAGTAGGATATGACGGGTCAATTGACAAACTTGCCGAAGCCCTTGAATCTGATCTTCACTCTTAATTTCTATGTAGTCTCCCCAGTCTGGTACAATGCCTGTCGTCACATAGTCTGGCCTCTTTATGTTCTTAGAGAGAAAGGATTGAAAATGAAGATCAGAAAACTGAGCATGACAATGGGATCATTTTCTCAGATACTGCCTCCTGCTTCATAGCGGTTTGCCCTTTCTGTCTTAGTATCGACCTTCCTAAGCTATCAGGGCAAACCCTCAAGGCTGCCTCAGTATTTCTTCCACTGGCCTTTTGAACTTAACATTGCCTGTTACTATTGACCGGGATAGTCTGTTAACCTTACAGTATTGAAATCCAAGATAATGCAGTAGCTTTTCAGTACAAATAGTTCTAAGAATTACAACTGTCAGAGGAGGACTTAAAAGTTCATTATATTCTTCTTTAAACAAAGACAAATTTTATACAGAAGTCAACTAAACACTTTCTAAATGTATGAATAGGGCTAGGAAAAGGAATGACTGAATATTTAGTCCTTAGGCAAACAAAACCCCTACTAACTTCAGAAAAAAATGTCTGATTAAGACAAAGGGTTTGGCCATAGGGTTATTTCTATCTATTAACCTTCTTCCTATGTATTATGCCTCTCACACATTTTTGTAACACTATTCAACCACATCCTAATTCACTGTCTTCCCAAAGGAAGCTATGAATAAACACCTGAATTTTATTAAAAAGTCTCATGTCTCATATACGTGCAAAATCCTCTTTCACATTTTTTCTTAAAGCTACATAAATAACAGTAGCATCTTATACATACGCGCAAGCACACATCATCCTCTGCAGGCCTACAACATTGTTTACTAAGCTATACACAGGAATCCCTTCACCCACCACTAGTGGCCAGATCCTGTATCATTCATGTCATCGGGAGAGTTTTGCCACTGACTTTAGTGAAAAGAAGATAAACCAATGGAGTTAAAGTGGCTGTTTAAACAGTACACAGCAAAGACTACAAAACATTTTAGTTTAGGAAGAGGAGATGAATGGTGTATCCAATTAACTCTGTAAGGGGACTTTCAATAGGGAGACTATAGTTACCCAAATGGTATTTAGTTACTTCTGTTCTTACAGAAAGTGTCATAGGATGTTTAATGACCTCAAGTTATCAGGACTTCAAATGGCACCTCAGGAGAACAGCATCCACTTAGAGGGAAAAATCTCACCTGCTGAATTCCCAACTCCATACCCTGAAGCAGTTTAAACTTTCCCTTGGAGGATAAGTCCAATAACTGCCTGTTTCAAAAAGGCTGCCCAAGATGACACCATGATGGTATACTTGTAGACATTTATGTAATTTATGTACGCATTTTCTTACCCTTTCCTTTCTCCTATAAATATCTGAAAAATGTCTTTGTAATATAAATATTATTTTATGGAAAGACATACCTCTGTTCCCCAATTTTTATAATGATCTATATCTATCAACAGATAATGATATCTCTCTCTCTCTCTATATATATAGATATACAGATTCTTGTAATATCTCACACTATTTATATCTTAACTAAATAATTTGTACATCCTATCATTTTGCAAACAGTTGAAAAATAGACAGGTCAAATTGTCTGAGTATTGTAACCTGGGAAGATATTTTTTTTAACATGACAATCTATTTCTTTGTATTTATTCTGAAAGAAACATAAAGATACAGGAATAAGCTTATACATACAACATCCATTTTTTAAATCTTTGAAAATATAAATGACTTGATCCTATATTTTTTTTGTGTACTCAAGGCTTCCATAATGCCTTAGGTTTAAGAACTCTATATTAACTGTCTTTAGCCCATACTTCTCATATTAATCTTTTTTCCCCTGTAACTGTTGGACAGTATACATATCTTATAGTTTGTGTCAGGAAACTACAATCTAGTAAAAAGAAACACTTATACACATCACTAGAAATATTGTTCAAATTATTTTCATTAAAGGAAGGATACTAAATAGGTTGCATAATGCAATAAAGGGGAAATTATGACAAAAACACTTGTTAGACTTCCCTAAAATAGGTCATGTCTGGTTCAAAAGTTGATAAAAAATAAAAATATATGTATTTCTAAGAAAAAATGTTTAATCAGTGACAGCAAAGGTTAGCTCCTAAGTTACATAGCAGGCTACCTGGCTGATATTTCAATGTATGCTTTTATCTAAATCTGAAATCACCAAATCACAAAGTGCAAAAAGATGCAAACATATTTAAACTTGATGTATTAGAAATTTACAGAGAAGGCCTCAGATAAGCATGTGTAATTCATGATTATTTCAGCTAGAATGATCTGTACAGATACAAATAGAGCACAGGAACCTACAAGTATTAAATGTTTTAAGATTATCACAATATTTCATATTTATGTTACTGTAATTTAAGGAACTCCAGGTTTAAACTCCCTAATGACGGGACACACCACTCTGCTTAGCGTGGCTGAAAACTTTTCACACCTTGTTCCTATTTCAAATTCCAAAACAAGTAACAAGACCACGATTCAAAACTCCCAGCTCTTAGAGGATGAATATACTTGATAGTTCACATGCTCAAACTTTATATTGACTGGGAAAAGGATCAGTTAATAGAAATTACAGTACCTTAGGAACTGGCTGAGCTGGAGACACTGTAGCTGGCCAAACTACACTGTAACTAGTATTTCTTTGTCCCAGGAAAAAGAAATATCTTCTTTGTTGACTGCCTGACTCTTTGTGTAAGTAGATACGATTGCTTAGTGAAGAGAAACCTCTATGGCAGCCAGCTGCAAAACCTTTAGACAGATATGTAAAAAAAGAATTTTTATCATTACCATATTATCAAGGGGTAGCTGTACCAAAGGAAAAGCAGTAGATAAAAGAGAAAAGTAGCTTTTTAACAGTAGCAAGATCCAGTTCACCAAGGTAATTATTTCTTTGTTAACACATGATATTTATTGTCTAACTCTAGTTCTATATAAATCTTATGCAATAAAAAACGATGTTAACATTTATAAGCAATAAAAACAAAAATTCATATCAAAGCCTTATAAAATGCTAGATCTATTTTGCTCTAACATATAAAACAGTTGCTTGTCCAAATCCCCAGTGCATCAAGACTAGAATTAACCTTGTAATTGGGCCCTCTTCTCAATGACTTGAATTGCTGAAGTTTGGACAGGCCAATGCTTGGGGCAACACTAAACAAAGGACAATATCCAGAAATCAGGAAAGAGAGGAGGATGTAGAGAGGGCATATCAAACAATTTTTTAATTCATGTTTTGGTTGAACTGGTTGTACGTTCAGCTAGGAAACAGTGAACTGTTTTCTGGTCATATACATCAAGATACAAAGAGTAGGGCCCATATTTTTAACTTCCTGACTTTCCGTGGAATAAGCTGAGAGAAACATTTCTAGCTTTGGCTGGAGGCAACAGAAGAGGTTAATGCTCATCAATGAGCTAGCACACTATTTAAATCAGATTCTCATCTAATAAGGAAATGTTGGATAACATAGCCCTTCAATTGCATCAGGTTGATATTTATTACTGTGGGTTACTTGCTGTGCAATGAGACATTTTTGTAGGAATATATGAGTATGCAAGCACACAACGTGTCAAAAAAGGACAAATAACATACCACAAAATGAAGTCCCAAAGAAAAGCTAATAATTTTCACAGGATTGTCTATGCATCATATTAACCGACAGTCAGATTCAGTTTACCTTGATGTGAATTACAAATTCAAAAACAAAAACTAGGATTAGATTTGGAAGCATGACGAAATGTATGGCACGTAATAGATTAACTTGTCTCAAATAGTGTCACGCACATACAAAGCATCATGGGTAGATGCATATATAAATACTAGCAACACTTATGTGGCAGATAAGTAATGAGAACAATTACTCCTCAATAACAAGTTTTTGTGTTTGTTTGAAATCAGAGCTGGAAAAATCATCCAGTTCAGCTCCTAGCCAATTAGCATTTTCCTACTGCACATTTTCTGTTGCCTTATCCAATATAGTTTTAAATGACCCAATGAAAAATAATTGGAATTTCTCACTCATTCCCTCCACATTATAGATTCTTGTAATTTTGTTCTATCTACTTTGCCTGGATGCACCTAGTGTGGCTGGTGCATGGAAATTTCACTCCGTGCTTACATGCACCTTCTAGAGCAGTGGTTCCCAACCTTTTTTTGCCGTGACCCGCTGCTGGGAGAGGAGTGCAGTGACGGTGGCCCAGGAGCTCCTGGCACACGGCGCAGCTTGTCCTTTGTGTGCAGCACTGCCGGCATTGCCCCTGCGACCCTCATTTGGGTCATGACCTGAGGTTGGGAACCGCTGGTCTAGAAGTAGGCTTCTGACAGTGGTCTACGGTACCCATGAAGTATAGGAGCAGTGAGATATCCTTTTAGAAACCCAACAATGCAGAACAAAGGGAATAAGCTCTGCCACAGAAGGGCTCATAATGATTCTTCTTCATTTTGACAAGTGCCAATGTTAATGATAACTTCACATTTTTATGGCACCTGAGGGGTGCAGGGGCCTTGCTTGTTACTAGCAGGCTTCTACTTCCTGTTTGGCTCTCCCACAGGTATACAGGCCAGGGTGAAGCAATGAAGTAGGATTGGGGACTCGGGTTCAAATAAGGTTCTCACAGGAAAGGCAGGGAAATAAGTAAAAGTGGAGAATACAGAGGCAGAAGAGCTTTGCAGTTATCAGAGGTTAGGCTGTATCACAAACTGGGTTCACTGTGTTTACTTTTTTTGCTTCGTATGTTATTAACTGGGTATCTCAGGCCTCAAGAATGGCATCTATGAGTGAAAAACCTGTTGTTTAGCTTCTTTTATATTGCCTGCTAGTCTAAACCGC